TTAAAGTCGGTTTAGGGTGATTCCAAACTAGCTTGACTAGTTCAAACCTACTTGACTTAATCAAGATCAATCAAATCTAAATTAAACCAATCTAGGACGATTCCAGATTAATTCTATAAGGTTTTGAGGTTGGTTCCGTTAGGTCGTAATCAAATTGCATTTGGTTTAAGTCAATTGTTTCCGATTAGAGTTTTGGTTGATTGAGGACTATTGAGAGATTGATGTTTCATGCCTTTATGATTTGATTAATTTAAAGGATTTATCTGGAGATATCATTTAAAAATGATTATTGATTTTCTACTTTTCTCAAGTTTATTATATTGATATGATTATTATCATGTAGTAGATGTGACTAGGCTAATAGTTCACATTGGAAGTGTAACATGTGAAAGGAGCTGCAGGCCCATCATAGTACGGAGCCACCAATGAACATAGTTTAACATATTTACATCAAGTATGGTCTCTCGTAATATTTAATCATACTAATTTCTTGATGCATGCGTAAGTGAATGGATAAGTGTAAATGAATGATCATGGATGTTTATGTATCCCTATCAAGGGCAAGTATGGCAATTCCCTTCAGGGATTAGCGGGTCGTCAAACGTGATGGTTAGACGGTTCCTCCATTCGCTGTTTAGAGGAACGTATCCCCACTTGGGCGGGTGAGGAATACCACTCCATCCACTATTAGGAGTGTGATATGGATTATCTCCATCCGTTGTTAGAAGGAATCCATCCTGTGGAATATGCCTCTCCATCCGTTGTTGAGAGAGTGCACTATCGGGTGATGTATGTATTTGTTATTATGTATGTGTTGCATGTGGCTGATGCATAATTTTATTTATTATGTAAGAAATTATCATCGTTTTTTTTATGCATAAGTTTTATGATGAATCGATATATTATCATTTTTTATTGAATTATCGATATTTATTTTTATTTCATGAATATTGAAGATTATTTTAATGATAATTTTGAGGTTCCTACCGGCATGTGTAGTTGCTAATATGTTTTTACATTATATTTATTTTCAGAGTAATCTATTACTTTGTAAAAGATCTAAAGCTTGGATGGAAGAGACTTGTGACCCTACCAAGAAGATATGATCCTTTCTCTAATTAATAGAATAGTTACTATTGTAAAGACAAGGATTTCAATTCAAAGACGAATGAAAAAAAAAGGGAGTTTATTATGTAAATTATGAATAATAAATTATTGATTTATTATTCTTTTTATAAATCTGGGATGTGACAATATTATTTCCTCGTATTGTAGTTTACCTTTTTATCTTATCTAGATTAAAATATACTATGAGAAGTTAAAAAAAAAAATATATTTCTTGATCCTTTAATTGTTAAAATTTTTATTGTTAAACCATAATATATTATTTGAAAATTTTTATCCCTGTTAAGATTTAGAATTTTATTGTTTGATTAGATCATGTTTTAATGTATTATTATTGTCATAATTCAATATTGATGAAATTGGATAACATAGGGTTAAAAAAACTCGCAAACTTGGCCCAACCCATAGGTCAGGCCATAGCCCATTGGCTAGGCCTAGTCTGCTTACTAGGCCCAACCCATAGGCCAAGCCTAACCCGCAGGTCAGGCCCTAGCCCGCAGGTTAACCCAGCCCAACCCAGCCCAACATGAGTAATCATATGCGACGCATATGACCAGTCCATGGGCCATGGTTGGCCCAACCTACTATGGTGCCATGAGCAATATATGAGTCGGCCTAACCTTGTCAAATATTATGTAATTGTTGGAATTGAGCCCAAACGTTGATTGAACTAAACCAAACTTGATTAGTCTAGATCAATTCAAAGTGATTCCATATTGGTTTGACCGAAATTGAACCTAATCTTGTCCAAATTATACTAGTCTTGGATGGTTCTTGACCAGTTAAATGAGGATTAAAAATCAATTCAGTTAGGTTCTAGTAAATCAAGTTCAATTGGATCAATTGAACTAGGGTTCAAATCAATTGAGGGCTAATTTGTATTATTTGATATTAATGATATTTGCAAGAGATGCTTTAAATATGTTATTTCACCTCGATATAAACATGACCAGTGTGAGATTATGTTATTTCCCTACCGAGGGGAGGTAGGGCGATTCCCTTCGGAGATTGATAGGCCGTCAAACATGGCAGCTGGATGGTTCCTCCATCCGCTGTTGGGAGGAACATGTCCCCACTTTGGCAGTTAAGGGACACTACTTCATCCGCTGTTGGGAGAACACAAACTTATCCCGAAGGATAAATCCTCTACATCCGCTGTTGGGAGAGTGCTCCTTCGGATAGGTGATATACGCCAACGGGATGATTGATTTTTGATCATATAATCATTTTGAGTTGACTTTTGGGGTTCCTACTCAACGTCGCTGAATTTTCTTTATTTTTGATTTTCAGAGCAACCTCGCTCTAGTATTAAATCAGATTCCAATGGAGAGCGGACCTTTTTCTACTACTATGTTTACTTTTCTACTTGTGATTTAACGAATAAATGAATTGTAATAAATACTTAAAATGATGAACAAAGTGAGGTTTATCAACCTAGCTCCGATACCATAAAAAGATGTCATATCCTAGATGTTTTTAGGAAATATTAATCTTATTTCCTTGTTTGCTATTATGAATTAATAAATTGCTATTAAACATTTCAACTTGGGTAATATCATATTTGTTAGTATATTAAATAAAAATAATTCACATTAAATAAATATGAAAGTTAAAATAAATTTCCTTTAATAGAGGCTCACCTCCTCCTATTTAAGGGGAGAGATTTCTCTCATTCGTTCCTCACCTAGCCGAGCCCAACAGTGGGAAGAACGAGGTGTTATACACAGTTGACGAGAAGTAAGTTTCTCTACCTTTCTTGAAATGAAAAGTTTTTATTTTGATTACTTAAATGTTGAAATTTTTGTAGTTTTAAATTATTTATCATTTTTTTTAATGTCAAAATATTTATTGTTGGATTAAGATATGTTTTGTAAAGTTTTTAAGGGATTCTTCAAATCCTCTTAAAGGTTTCTTTGGATTTAAATACACTGAAATTATACAAGTTTTATTTATTGAATACATGATATTTGATTCTTCATATTTGGATTAGGAATGTTATTTACTCATATTGCAGTTTATCTTTTTATCTTATCTGGATTAAAATATACTATGAGTAGTTCAAAAAAAAAATTCTTATTTATTTAATTATTAAAATTTTTATTGTTAGATTATAATATATTATTTGAAAATTTTTATCCCTGTTAAGATTTAAAATTTTATTGTTTGATTAGATCATGTTTAAATTATTCATGTCATATGTCTTCAAAATATGATCTAGAATTTTTATTAAATTTAGAATATCATTTCCTTAATCTTTCAATATTATTCTTTAATCTGTTGTTATGTTTTAATATATTATTATTGTCATGATTCAATATTGATGAAATTGGATAAGCATAGGGTTAGAACAACACGCAAACTAGGCTCAACCCATAGGCCAGGCCTAACCCACGGGTCAGGCCCTAGCCCGCAGGCTAACCCAGCCCAACCTAACATGGGCAGTCATATGCAACGCATATGACCAATCCATAGGCCAAGGTCGGCCCAACCTACTGTGGTGCATGCACAGTTATATGTAATGTACATGACTAGTATATGAGTCGGCCTAGCCTAGTCCAATATTATGTAATTGTTGCAATTTAGCCTAAACGTTAATTGAACTAAACAAGACTTGATTAGTCTTAGATCAATTCATGGTGATTCCGAATTGGTTTGACTTATTCAAGTCAGTTTAGCCTAAATTGAACCTAATCAAGTCCAAATTAAACTAGTCTAGGGTGGTTCCAGACTGGTTAAATAAGGATTAGAGATCGGTTCAGTTATGTTCTAATAAATCGAGTTCAATTGGATCGATTAAACTAGGGTTCAAATCAATTGAGGACTAATTTGTATTATTTGATATTGATGATATTTAAAAGAGATATTTTAAATATGTTATTTCATCTCGATATAGACATGACCAGTGTGAGATCATGTTATTTCCCTGCCGAGGGCAAGTAAAGCAATTCCCTTTGGAGATTAGCGGGCCGTCAGACATGACGGTTGGACGGTTTCTCCATCTGCTATTGGAGGAACGTGTCCCTACTTTGGTGGATAAGGGACACCACTCTATTTGCTGCTGAGAGTACGATATGAGTTTGCCTCCATCCGCTGTTGGGAAAACAGAAACTCATCCCGTAGGATAAAGCCTCTTTATCCGTAGTTGGGGGAGAGCTCCTTCGGATATTTGATATACGCCAATGGGATGATTGATTTTTTATCATGTATTCATTTTGAGTTGACTTTTAAAGTTCCTACTCAATATTGCTGAATTTTCTTTGTTTTTGATTTTTAAAGCAACCTCCCTCTAATACTAAATCAAATTCTAGTGGAGAGCGGACCTTCCTCTACCACTAGGTAGAGCCACTTGGATGATTCTTGGAGTTATATCACTATGTTTACTTTTCTACTTATGATTTGACGAATAAATGAATTATAATAAATGTTTATAAATGATGAACAAAGTGATGTTTATCTACTTGACTCTGAATATGTGAAAAGATGTGATCAAAAAAAAAAAAAAAATCCAGGATGTGACAATGGATCATTAGAATTCCATATATAATATACAACTTTTCTATACATATATTACTCTGCTGCTTGTGATATTCTTTTAGGTGCCCACTTGTGTGCCTAGAACCTAAGCCTTTTAAAGGGTTACCACTTCTGACCACCTAGTTATTGTGATACCATAGCAAATATCTCCACTGAACTTACAAAAATATATGTTGTATCAACTGCATCAATAGCCAATTAGAAAGATAATAATAAAAAATGTGGTATTGGAACTAAACCGTTGATTTGGTTATGTATCCATCAAATATGAATTATTGAATAAATAACCAACTATTATGAAATCTAATGTGTTCCTAAAAAAGTGAAATTTGGATAAGCACCTTGTAGTAGAATATTGATGTAGGGGCATCCGATGATGAAACTTCAGGTGTATATCCAACCTTATACAGTGGCATCAAATCTTCACAATGAATCTTCTGCGAGATAGTGGTGAACTGAAGTAGGAAAGCCTCCTTTAAGCTGTAAAAGGATGGGGAAGCTGTTTTAAGGATACATGATAAGACATGGTACATCAACCCATATAATAGTTCAGGAAACTAGCAGAACTTTTTGTTAGTTTAGTTCGTGCTCTGTTATGACCTCTATAATAACAGACTAAGAACTCATAGTTCCAACTATAGTGAGTGCAAATTAGTAAGTTAAAAGGAGGCCCTGTGGATTTTGAAATGAGATTTTCAGAAGCATAGATACCAACAGTTCTGTGTATATGCAAAAAGGACTATAAGAAGCAAAATATTCACAAAGTGGTTTGAAATTTTTTATTTTGTTCATCTAACCAGTTATGTACCTAAATTTGTTATAAATTTTAACACACGAAAAATGCTAAAATGATGCAATTCATAGATCAACAATTTCAGTTTGTACATCAACAATTCATAAATGCTGCAGGGATCAAATAAGCACCCATTCCATCAACTTGCTCACAAATCTTTTGACATGAGATGCATTGGATTGCCCTCCACAAATAAGCATTTATATCTAAGATCCTTGAGATGGCCTTTTATAAATGCAATATATAACACAAAAGTTGTGATTGGTAAAGGATGTGTGGACCTAACATAATAATGAGATTGAGACATGGAAAATAGAATATTCATAATTAAGATTTGTTTTCAAAAAGTAATAACAGTCAACCTGCCACAAGACCAGGTTTTATTACTCTCAGTTACTTTGTAATATTGATCATTATGTCATGAACAATTATCATTACTTTGTTCCAGAATAAGACTTTGATAATGTGATAAATGATTGAAAAGACTAGCTTCTGCTTCATTTGTTAATCCTTTTTGCCACATAAAATTTATCTTATTTGCTTTTATTTCTTACACAAAAATATATGTTTTCCATTAATTTCCAGAAATCTGATGCATCCACATCATGGTGTGAATCACGTTAAGTTGTTTCTTTTATTGTTTCACGCAAACAAGAGATTTAGGAAAACATGCTTTACAGCTTCAAAATAATGATTATTTAATTATTTAAATCTACCAGTTTACTTTTATCAGTTAAAAAAATATAATCTTCATATTCTAAAATATATCTAATGCAAAATAAGTTTGCAAGCAATACATCATAACTCTTTAAGGATCTCTATAACAAGAAGGATGGCATCAAATTGCAAAGTATCTTCTAATTTCACTAATTTTCTGTAAATAAAAAAGGTAGTTAACATTAATAACCACTTAGTAATCCATTTAACATTTCTGAATCTGAATCATTCTTCCAGTTCAAGACTGAATAAAGGAAGGGGGTTATTATTGTTATGAGGAAGGGGGCTTTAGACCTTCATGTGCATCAAGCTAATGAATGGACATCTATTCTTTCAATCTTTTCTCGTTCCTCAAGCTTAATGAGGCATTGTGGAGAAAAGGGATAAAGAAAAGGAGGAATAATCGACCTTTAGGAAAAGAAGGTTCTGTTACCTCCCTTCATTAATTCTTTTTTTTGGTGGTTTCATCCATCTCTTTCTCATTTTTCTTCTGAGTTTCAGTTAGCATAGTTCAGGTATTTTGGTACAATATCAGATGGGCACTGTACAGGACCAAAGACAAAGTTTCACTCATGATACCATGGTGTCCCAAATTACTGTAGTACTAAAAATGCCAAATTGGCAATCCAATGTCATTAAGTCAATTCAATTTTATAGAGATAAGCCAACCATTGCCCGAAGCAGCCGCGGGTGGGCTACAAGTGTAAACTCGCTCCCAAGCTGTTAGAGTCACACAAGAGGAGCGTGATAGCGAACAAGACAAGCGAGAAGTTGACTACTCTCCGCAAGCGAAGGAGGCACAACCTGAAGCGCCAACCGAGAAAAAGGAGCCATAAGGAGAGGCTTATAAACCTGCCTTGACGTCCTTGAAACGAGTTTGGAGGAACTCTACCGGAGCCAATGAAGGCTTCTTAGGGTAGAGAACTCGCAAGAACAAGCTGAATCTCATATTGATAAGGTCAAGGACCTAATTGATTGATTGATGGAAGACACCAAAGACTCCGTGCAACATCTACACGAAGTCATAGCGGAACTCACGTCCAAGGTTACATTGCTCATAAGGGCTGTTAATGCGGGAAGGAACAACATCTGTGTTGCTCCACCGCAGAACTTGAGGGCACCTGAGCCACCTTGTTACGGGGGGTGCTAGGGATGCGAAGGAACTCGAGAATTTTCTGTTTGACATAGAATAGTACTTCCGAGCTACGAGGCCCAATTCTAAAAAATCAAAGTTTCGATAGCAACAATGTATCCGAATGGGGCTGCAAAACTTTGGTGACGAACACGTTGGAAAGAGATCCAACAAGGTCGGTGTTGAAGCTGAGAGTTAAGGACTCAATTTCTACCCGAGAACACAAAGTTTGCCGCAAGAAGGAAGCTGAGACAACTCCGCCAAAATACTTCCATTCGGAACTACATAAAGTAATTTTCTACACTGATGCTAGACATATAGGATATGTTCGAGAAGGATAAGTTGTTTAACTTCCTCGATGGCCTAAAGTCGTGGGCATAACAAGAACTGCATTAAAGGAATGTCAGCGATGCGATTGAAGCAATCGCAATCGTAAAAAGGCTCACTAACTTTGTTTCCGAGGACTCGAAAAAAAAGAAACAATCTTCAGGTAATCGACCACCCAAATATTCCCAAAGGAAGAAGTCCGAGGGTGAGCAAAAGAAAAGGAGTTCCCACAAAGGGCCAAGCTAAAAAAAAAGACCCCAAAACCTGGCGGATGCTTCTTGTGCAGAGGACCGCACATGGTGAGGGAGTGCCCACAAAAACAAGCACTTAATGCCTTAACAGCATCAATCCACCCCCTAGATCAGACAAGGGCAAGGCCATCGCCCTTAGTTCGAGTAGTTTGGAATCCAACAGCAACGATGAGAAGTCGCGAGGACCCCGAATAGGAGCAATGCATTTGTTGAATGTATTGCCGGGTGGGGGAGAACGTTAAAGCGAAGCCACAGAAGTAGGGAGCGACAAGTTGATGTATATGGACATCAAGCTAAATGACCAAACAACCCGTGCGATAGTGGACACAAGCACTACCCACAATTTCATTGTTGATAGAGAAGCAAGACAACTTGGGTTGAGCCTAGAAAGAGCCCAAGTCGGATGAAGGCTGTGAACTCGGACGCTAAGCAGATCTCCGGGCAGGCAAAAGGGTTACCTATCAGGATTGGGACATGAAGTGAAAGCACAAACATAATGGCAGTGCCACTGTGATACCGAGGAGGGTAAAAATGCAGAATGGATGTCGATAGAAAACTGATATAACAGTTGTTCAGATAGAAAATGTCACAAAAGGCAAGGAACGCACTTTTGAAGAAACTTCGATAAAACGATATATAGCTCACCACCAAGTTTAAAAATCAAAAGGGATACAGAAGATCACCACCCTAATGATAATAAACAAGGATACAGAACTGAAAGCGAAAGACTCACCACTCAAGGACGCATCCAAGAGATACAGAGTTCAAAAGAGCACTCCAAGAGAGCTTCTGCCAATATTCTCAGTTTTCTAAAGTCCTTTCTAAGTCCTAAACACCAAAATAAATACTAGTGCATGAAACAACCCTTCATGCATAGGAAATTTCGAAATTAAGTGTTTACAGCTTCTAACCAACTATTTTAATGCACTAATTGGTAATGAAGAAATGTTTACAGCTGCCAACCAACTCCTTTAATGCATTCCTTTGTCTTGAAGAAAAGCACCTTGAAACAGCTTTAACTTTGTGCAGAGAATATGCTGATGAGCTGTCATTTTTTAGTGTGCTGAGATAAAAATTATGAGGCATCATTATTGACTGAAAAAGATACTAGATCATAATCAAAGCTCATATAATCAGATTGTAGTAAATTAGACACTCCCGTGTCAATCTCCCCCGGTTGAATGAGACTTGTCCTCAAGTCTTCGTTTGATTCATCAACATGATTATAAAAAGGACTC